AGAATATAGTCTTTTTCGATAGTGAGATATATATGTTTTTCTATAGAGGCTTTTTATATTCTAATCAGTATATATTCTTATCAATATTACTATTTAGAGGATTTTTCTCTTAAAATAAGAAACTCTTCTTGGCGCCTATTTTAGTATAAATTATACTTAAAGTAAGTGGGATATTCTTAAAACAAGTATACAATTTTTTCGGTGCAAGTATAAAATCTTCTACTTACGAGAATATAATTTTTTCGGTGTAGTAGTCAAAAATAAAGCGGAAGGTCAGTCACGGAAGGACAGAAAAACGGATTCTCGTGGAAGCGATCAGGTGATCTTCCCTCCCGTTCTTCCGTCTGGTCCCGAGAAGAATCTAGCCGAGAGCGAGGAGAAGATTGTCAGAGGCGTGTGCAAAGTGCCGCGGCGGGTTCTTCTTCTGCTTCACGATATACGCTATTCTATTCTTCTCTCTTCGGCGTTAACCGAGGCGAAAAGAGCGAACACGATACTTAGGCAACTTCACTTCAGGGATCCGCGCGAGTAGAGAGATCTTCCGGCGATTGTGACAAAGGAGTTATTCTTTTCCTAGGTGAGAAGGGTCGGAGCTTTAATATCGAAGTATAATCTCTGGATGGAGAAGTTCGATGGAATCTCCGAGAGATCCCGCGCGCTCAGATTTCACGGCTTGTCGATCGATGATGCGCGCTGATGAGACGTCGCTGTCTTGGGTTGATTTATCGGAGCGAATCCGAACCCGACGCATTTTCTTTGTGAAAGAAACGCTCGCCCCCAATTCAAGGCGGCGGAAGCGCTTGAATCGAGCGTCTCAGTGAGTTGCTGTCGAATAAACGAGATAAAAAAAAAAAAAAACTCAGTTTTTACACACACAACGTTCGAGCGCTGTGTAAATTTCTGTGAAAAAAACAAAAAAAAAAACGCGCTGTCGTTTTATTAGAAAGTAACAAACTAGCTAAAAGTTTCATTTACGTAATTCGTGTTTAAACACGTGGTGCAACACCGTGGTGTGAACCTTTCCCTCAACGGTCTTCTTAATTGCGCAAGCTGTATAACGGTACAGGTTGTAAATTAGTTAAAAAAAAAAGAAGAATTTGCACACACGATCCCAACCGCACTGTGCGAAGAGCGTCGCACCTCACAGGCATCGAACCGGCAAGTCATCAATCCTCACGAAGAACAATTCGTTCGTTCATTCGTGCGCAACGTTTTTTTAATTAACACGCGACGCTCAAAGAAAGAAACAACACAGCGCGTTTTATAAGTATATTTGCAACGAAAAATAACGAACTTAAATTAAATGTCGCAATTGCGACATTTAACTTAACCGGTTGTCGCGGGAATCGAAAATTACAGTTTTAGAACGAGGTCATGCTAGATCGTAGAAATCGATTGTGCGTCGCTTTATTAATATGTCGCCAGTGATATATACATTTTGCATTCAGCGCATTTTTACACCTACTTCTGGAAAAACTTAGCTCCGGCCTTAGATACACGTATATACGCAATCAGAAGAAACAGGACCGACGCGTTCCGCACACCTCGAGATTAATTCAATCCCGGTGTTATGTTAATTATATTCAAGAATTTTACTTTTGATATCGCGAGAGCGCGCGTTGCAAACGTTGTTGACTCCTCTCAAGTTTTGAACAAACAATAACAATTGTCGTTATTAAAAATTAATTATTTAATCGTAACGTCCAAGATATATAACTCACATTAATTATTTACAGACGCGTAATAATGATATAATAATATAACTATAATAATGTAATAATAATTAACATATAACAAATTAACTTGATTAAATATAAATTAATTATAATTGATTTACATTAGTCATATTATTAAATATATTAATTAA